GGGGTTAGGGGTTAGGGTTTTAGGGTTTTAGGGTTTAGGGTTTAGGGTTTAGGGTTTTAGGGTTTAGGGGTTTAGGGTTTAGGGTTGCTTTTTGGTGGGGTTTGGATTGGGCTTTTTTGGTGGCTTAGACTCTACTTCTATCCTACTATGCAACGCCCCTAAACTACTAGTACTACCTAAAACACCCTACAACCCTAAACCCTGAAACCCTAAACCCCCTAAACCCCCTAAACCCGAAACCCTAAAACCCTACCTAAAAAACCCGTGTGCTTTCCGGGCATCTCGAGGAGTCCCGAGACGATCTCCGCCAGATGCTGCGAGTAGACCGCCGGAAGCGGCGCTGGCTCCGCGGAGCAGACCTGGAAAGCAGGGGTTCAGGGTTTAGGGGTTAGGGCTTATAGGGTTTAGGGTTTAAGGCTTTAGGGTTTGTAGGGTTTAGGGGTTTGGGCGTATAGGGTTTGAGGGGTTTAGGGTTTAGGGTTTAGGATTTAGGGTTCAGGGAGTACCATCCTCTGGATCCAAAGACCTTCGATTTTAAGGGCTCTACCGTTCAATTGCAGGGTCATAACCTACTATTTTGTGGGTTTGGGGTCACAGGTATAGTCTCCATTGTAGTTCCCTTTTTTTTGGATTAGCCGACTTTATATCAAGGATCCTATAAGGTAGCCCCAAACAGGAACTACAATGGAGACTATAGGCATGGGGCCCTTTAATGCCTCTTCGAAGGGTTCTTCCGTTGACTCTCTTCTTCAACAACCAGGCCCAACAATTTCAAACTTTTTAGGATAGACCAAATATATAAGGCCGAAAAGTTTAAAGTTCGCCTATTGGCTAACTAAGTTGAAGGGCTCTGTCAGGCTTGCAAATTAACAGGGTTTTACTTTTGGGGCTTGTCGCATCCAGAATGTAAGGTTCCTGCCTTAATGCTTGGAGTAGGGTTTTCTTCAGTGTCTCCTGAAAACGACTCTAGAAGGGGTAGTACAGTATAGAGGCCTGAATACATAGAGTAGGTTTCTCTAGGGGTTCCTTGCAAAGAACCTGTGAGGGTGCCTCCAAGTAGACGCTAAATAAACCCTAAACCAGACAATATAGATCCCTTTAGGAACCCTGTAATAAACCCTAAACCATACAATATAGATCCCTTTAAGGAACCCCCCTAATCCCTGGACCACATAATGTAGATCCCTTTAAGGAACCCCCTGCACGTAAGCTTATACCTGCTAAGTCCCATGATCCTCCAAGGAGGTTTCGGGTCTTTCGAGCCGGGCCTTCATGATGAGGGCCACCATGGACGTTGCCTGGCGTCCAGAAGCCAAGTTAAAGGAAACGACAGGTGAGCTTAGGGTATATAGGGCTTCCATAAGGCTTCGATAAGGCATAACCTATACCCTAAACCCTAAACCCTAAACCCTAAACCCTAAACCTATAAGGCTCCTATAACGGTAACTACCCGCCTGATAATGTCCTAGACCAAGGGTGGCCGGACTTGGCAAGGTGGTCATCCTGTTTGGTGAGGGACTGAACCCTAAACCCTAAACCACCCTAAACCCTTCACCACCCCAAACCCTAAACCCTAAACCACCCTAAACCCTAAAGCCTAAACATTTAATAGGGTTTAGGGTTTAGGGTTTAGGGCTTTAGCAGAACGAAGGGGGCCTCTGCACTTTGACAGGGGTTTGGGGTACAAGTATCATCATCGAGAGGCTACGACCACAAGGGCCTACTCCCCTATGTAGAAGCCTTAATAATTAGAATAGGGTTTTGGGGCCCAGTATACTATAATTATAATATGAAGCCCCCAAATAGTATAGGTAATTATAAAGGCCCGATATTATGTAAACCTCTGTGTAATCCGTACGAAGACGTCGAGCAACAGTCCCGAACGAAGCTGCATCTGAAACTCAAACCCTACCAGAGGGAAAGATGGACACCTGAATAATTAGTGATGCTGTTCCCTGGGGTTCCTTACGATAAGTATGCCATAGCATAGCCCAAACCCTGTTCTTCTCTTCTTATCAGGCCCCTACAGAAAACCCGGTTTGGATTGACCTGCTTGGTTGCATGCTGTTTGGTGCTTTCTGCAGGAAAGACACGAACACGAACCGGAAAACCTCCCTGTCAATGTGCTTACGTCAATATACAAGCCTGGAAGGGCAACTTCACACAACAAGGTTCCTTAATACAACGAATACACATTTAATGCCCTAGACCCGAAGCCTTAATGCACAAGGCCCGGAAGGGTGCCTTAGCATAAGCTTCATAACACAAATAATGAAAACATAACAAGAGCAATAATGACAACAGTAAGAAGAACAATCAGAATAAGAAGAATAAGACGAATAATAAGAATAAGAAGACGAATAAGAATAAGAAGACGAATAAGAAGAATAAAAAGAAGACGAGCAAGAAGAAGAAGAAGAATAAGAAGAAGAAGAAGAAGAAGAAGAGTGAGATTACTACTACGAGCAAACAAGGCCTGGAAGGGTACCTGTAAGGCCGCGAGCTCGTAGGTGACGACGCCAAGCGCCCAGAGGTCGCTTTTGACGCCTCGGCGGACGGGGAGGGGGGGGGGGTTAGGGCGGTCGGGGGCCTTGGGGCGAAGTGGGCCTTCAAACCCTACCCTAAACCCTAAACCCTAAACCCTAAACCCTAAACCCTAAACCCGAAACTCTAAACCCTAAACCCTAAACCCGTAAACCCTAAAACCAGCCAGGGACCGGGGGATGCCCGCCAGCCTAATCTAAAACACGCATTTTGCGACAAGAAGTTGACATGCCAAAATCCCCTGCCCCGGGGAGGGCGGGCAGGGGTGGGGACTTAGGACCAGGGTGGTAGTTTAGGGTTCAGGTTGAGGGGGTTCTGGGTTTTTGGGTAACGGGTTTTAGGCTCGGGTCGCTTTTCGGGATTGCGGTTTTGGGCTTCAGCACTTATGGGGTTTAGGGATGGGGGAGAGATAAGAGATTGTCCCATTGGGGTCTTGTTTACTACGACTTTGGGATTTAATTCAAGGCTTCGGGAGCTTCAGGGCTTTGGGAGCATGCCATAGCAGAGCTATGTATACATATATATATATACACACGTCATATACATGTACCTTTGTACATGTACATATATGTACAGATGTACATGTATATACCTTATATAGATATGTGTACATATATTTATATGTCTACTACAAGGGGTTCTCTGGATGAAGATTGGGATTAATCCGGGCCTTGCAGGCGTTTAGCGGATCTTGTGGGGTCCGGGTGCGTCCTGCAGAGATACCACCGTGTTGCATCGACAGATAAATCGATCCTACTTAGATGGAGAGAACAGATACCTAACCCTAAACCCCAAACCAACTTAAAGACTTAGACAGAGAATGAGAGGTAGACGCTGGAATTACAAGGATCTTGAATCTTGAAACCTCTAAATGGGACTTTCCGAAAATTAGGGGTACCTTATTTTGGGGTCCTTATAATAAGGAACCTATTATTTAGGGTACTATATTAGGGTCCCCTATTTTTGGAAACCCCCAAATCAAGATGTGTCGGGGAGCCGTAGCTGTCTCCATTGCAAATCTCCGGAGCCAAGTACAGAGGCGTGCCGATCGTGGTCTGGGCTCCGGCAGTCGTACTCTCCAGCACCTGGCAACATCCGCTTCTTCGACTTTTCGAAACTTCGAAAACCGCCCTATGTCCCAGAAAGTGAAATGTCCCAGAAAGTGAAAAGCCCAAATCCTAAACCACAGCATCCTAAACCCCAAACCCCAGACCCCAAACCCAAAACTGCCGAACCCTACACTGCAAACCCACACAATCCTGAACGCTTCGAGTTGGGTATGAGTAGCGCTATAGAGCCAAAAAACGAGGCCGAGGCCGTGGTGTTCAGAGGTAATCCGGTTTAGGGTTTAGGGTTTGGGGTTTGTATATTACGGCGCATTATAAAGCATTCCAGTATATCATGGCACAGTATGATTAGCTTAACATAGTGTATCACAGTCTATTGTAGTACATACTCGTGTATTACGGTACACTCTAGTAGATCATATAAACCCTAAAACCGTAAACCCCTAAACCCTAAACCCCTAAACCATAAAACCCTAAACCCATAAACCCTACACCCCTAAAACGTAGCCCCTAAACCCCTAAAGCCTAAACCCCTAACCCCTAAACCCATAAACTGCCATAAACCCTAAACCCTAAACCCCTAACCCCTAATTTTAAACCCATAAACTGCCATAAACCCTAAACCCTAAACCCTAAACCCTCTTGCCGTGGCCTTGGAGATTCCGAAGTCCCCGAGCTTCACGATCCAGCGCCGCGTCAGGAAGATGTTAAGGGGCTTCCTTGGACATGTGATTAGGGTTTAGGGTTTAGGGTTTAGGGTTTAGATGTTAAGGGGCTTCCTTGGACATGGGATTAGGGGGATTAGGGTTAGGGGTTGGGGTTTCTGTGGCCCTCAGACCCCTCAGCACCGAAACGGTTTAGGCTTCAGGCTTGAGGGTTTAGGCTTCAGGGTTCAGATTCTGACATGTTTTGTGTTAGCGCTTGTGAGGGTTTCTTTTGGTTTCGCAGCTTGAAGGTGCAGTTGGGTTACATGACAGGGTTTCAGTAGAGTTTGTTCGGTGGCTGAGGCTCGCGAAGTTGGCTGAATTCGCTGGGGACGCAAGCCGATTTCTTCAAACTGCTGTGCGACGTCACTGCAATGGGAGCAGGGGTTCAGCCACGGTAAATCACTTAAAGTGAGGAGCCTACCAGCCCTTACCCCAGACCCCCGGGAGGATCTAGAAAGTAGAACCCCTAGTTTGGGACCCTATACTACTAAAGGCTCTTTATAGGAACCCCCATTAAGGGATCTACTTTTTGGATCCTCCCGGGGTTCGGCTTTCTTGCGTGGAAGGTGTCAGATCCCGGTGTAGGATCTTGCAGTCGTGGATGTGCGAGAGCGCGAGGATGAGCTGCAGATGGATGTGCATGATCTGATCCTCCGTGAAGCGTCCTGGACTTCGATGGGAGACTGCAAGCCGAGTGTTGAGGAGCCTTCAGATAATTAGAGTCATAATAGTCCTTGTAATCATACTCATAACATGAATGTTCAATAAGAGTCAATGCCACCGACTCGAAGCCTTGACACTTACACCATGAGCCTTGAAACATGTTTGAAACGTGTCCTTGCGCATCGCTACGGCGCTTGATCTGCGTCGCCAGGTCCCCGTTGTCCGCGTACTCCATGACGATGTACAGCTTTGGGCCCTCCATGAAGGACTCGACGTAGCCTGGTTCGGGGGCTCAGGACTCTAGCGTGATGCATTTGTGAATGGAGGGAACGCCCTGACATGAGCAATGTTGGCAGCTTTCTTCCTGCGCACTTACTTGCAGAACTACCTCATCGAGCCCTCATTGGTGGGTTACCTGTATCCTGGAACTCCCTGCGCGGTGTAAGGCAAATTAAAAGCATCAGACTCAACGTTATTAGCACCCTTTGCCCACACCATGTACGAACCCTAAACCCTAAACCCTACGAATTCTGCTGTGGAGCGGATGATGTTCGCGTGACACACCCGCCGCAAAACCTCGGCATTCCAGGATGCTGAAAGGCTCCTGGAGAGGCCCCCTTTTGCCGCTGAGATTGCAGACTCTCAGGATATGATGGGTTCCTTTTTGGTACATCATATGATAGTAGGTTTTTTTATTATAGGATATGATGGGTTCCTTTTTGGTACATCATATGATAGTAGGTTTTTTATAGTACATCATCGTACATTATGGAATATCAGAGTGTCGAGAGACATCGTGGCTGAAGACAAGATGACGGAAGAGCTGTCATAGTTTGGCCACACCAGCACAGCTGCATTTATCGGCAACCCAGCCTCTCGGCGCTCCTAGGTCCTAGGTGCCTCAGAGCTACTTTAAACCCTATTAGATTACACTCTAAACCCCGGTAGTATCAAACCCTCAACCCTAAACCCTACAGCTGTCTAAAGAAGCCCTATCTCATTTTGGGTTTAGGGGTTTAGGGGTTTAGGGTTTAACTAAATCAAACGTAGGAAGTTCCTTGAGAAGAACCCCAGAACCCACTGGGCCCGAAGCATCTGCTTCTGCCAAGGCCAGCTGACGCTCCTCTGGGCTGAGGCGATGTCTTCTTAGATCTCCGGCCCCAGACCCCAAAGGGGTTTTAGGGTTCAGAGTTTAGGGTTTCAGGGTTTTAGGGTTCAGGGTTCAGGGCCCTGGGTTTAGGGTTTAGGGTTCAGCTGCTCCCGGTCGAGCAATCTCTAGTCGACTTGCCGGTTTCGGATTTAGAAAAAACCCCACCTGCCCCCAAAGACTGTCGGGTGCTTAGTAGGGAATGGGGGCATGGATTATAGGCTATAGGGACTACTATAAGGGAACTTCAGGGACTATCATAGGGATCCATTCCCCCATTCCCTACTAAGCACCAGACAGAAGAATCCCATAACGTTAAGAAGATACACGGGTTCATATTCTACACATAGCTTTTTCCCCCTGGAACCAACTATAGCTTAACAGCTCTTGGGCTAAACCCGAAACCTACGGCCCAAACACTGAGGCCGAAACCTTAAGGCCGAAAGTATATGGCCCAAACCCTGAGGCCGAAACCCTAAGGCACGGTTTAAGGTTTAGGGTTTAGGGTTTAGGGTTGCCGAAAACCGAAGGCAGAATCCTTAAAACCGAAATCCTAACCCCGAAACCCTCAGGCCGAAGCCTCCAAGAACCCGAAGTTTTCAGCCTGAAACCCAAAGGCCGAAACAGTTAGTAGCGGTGTTCAAATCCAGAAATCATAATCACAGGGTTTCGGCCGAAACCTTGCGAGCATGATCTGAGAATTATGTTCTGGACCAAAATTCCAAGGTTCGAGCTTCCATTTGAGGCTTCAGACTGACCCGTCCCCTACCCATCCTAGATCTTTCTAGACTGCTAGTACTGGCTTTCAGATCCAGAGATCATAATCACGGGGTTTCGGTCGAAACCCTGTGAGCCTATACTGTCCAAGCGGGACCAGGAAGAACTGTCGGAGGTCTTCCAGCCCAAATCTTCGCGGGTAAGGCCCCGGGTTCTGTGTGCTAGAGGCTTCAGGGTTTAGGGTTTAGGGTTCAGGATTCAGGGTTCGGGGTTTAGGGTCTAGGGTTCAGGGTTCAGGGTTTGGGGTTTGGGGTTCAGGGTTTAGCTTTCAGGGTTTAGGGACTGGGGCTTAGGGTTCAGGGTTTCGGTTTTAGGGTTCAGGGTTTAGGATCAGGGTTTAGGGTTTAGGGTCTAGGTATATATATATATATATATAGATAGTACAACGTCAAGTAGAACTATTAACATAATATCATATTTTGTAAAGTAAAATAACAAAATATCGTACAGCATAGAATAGAGTAATATGACGTCATATAACATGGTAGGTTGGAACGTGGTATATGACCTTGTAAGGGAAAGGTCCCTGCGGTTTAGTGGTTTAGGATTCTCAGAATTCTCCTCATGCTTTGCCTCGCGCCCCTCCCACTCCCTCTCAGGGCTTCGAGATCCCAAGCCACCTCTACAAGGGTTCCGGTAGGGGTTCCTTTTGAAGGATTTTATGGGGTTCTTTAATAAGGTCTTTTTGAGGGTATTTGGGGCATCCCTTAAAGCTGTCTGTCAGGGGTGCCTGTCAGCATCCCTTCATGGGTCCCTCACTTCCGGTGTTTTGCAGGGTTTTCTTGAAGGGAACAGATAGCCACCGTTGTAGAAGCCCCTAAATTACCCTTGCAACCCTGTTCTCTACGGTCCTTCTCGCCCAAGTGTGCCGCGTTAATCTCCTTCGCGACATACCTGCGCTCTTACGCGGGGTTCTTCTCCGTAAGAATTCTTCTCTACAGACTGAGAAGGCTCATGAAGGGCTCTCTATCAGGGCTATCGGTAAGGGTACTGCGCAGAGGTCATAAAGGTTCCTCTATGAGGGTGCCACAAAGTACCCGCAAAAAATACGAATTCCGATCGCCGGGGCGCTTTGTGCCACCCCCTGTGCGCTCACGCACCAGCAGCGCGGTGCCATAGGCGCCGCTTCCCAGGATCTGCAGCTTCTCATATCCTCAATGTACGAGCAGTTAACCAGGACCCTCATCCTCTCTCCCTTTATGTATATATCTGTATGTATGTATGTATGTATGTATGTATGTATGTATGTATGTATGTATGATAAATGCACTTCCACACACGTGTATATACATGCATATATATATATATATATGTACAAATATAGGTATACGGCAGCCGTAGATATAGATATAAATATAGAGATAGAAAGATAAAGATAAAGAAATGTACGAATATAGGGATATACAGATTTGACGTCAAAACTAGATAGCGGAGTTCACGATGAAGCCAGCCGGAAGGCACCAAGCAGACTTTCCCGTAGTTCAGGACGAAGATCGTGAGCTTAAAAGTCAGCCCCCCCCCCTAGCTGCTGATTCGAAGTTTCCCAAACCAACAAACTCTTCAGCAAAAAACTTCTCAGCCACGGAACTGCGATCAAACATGGCCATTCCGCTGCAGTGCACATCGCCAGCGCGAGCCCGCAGTCTTGCAGCTCATTTGCCGGCGAACAGAAGAGGCCAAAGTCTTGTGCTTTCGGGGCAGGGCTTGGGGTATTGGTGGGCTCAGGACGCTCATGAATGCAACCCTTGATACAGCCTAGATTAGGGGCCTTAAAAATTAGAATAGGGTTTTGGGTGTATATTATACAAAATAAGGAACCCCAGAATAGTATAGGTCACTACTAAGGCCTCTGTAATATTTACAGTGGGGTTTAGGGTTTAGGGTTTAGGGTTTAAGCGTTGTGGTCTTCAGGGCACAGGTAACATGCAAAGGGTCCCAAGTACCTGCATAGATTGTTTTGTGCAAGGCTTACTTTATGGCTTCTTTTAAAGGCTCCTTTATATGGATGCTTTTTGTATAAGGGTTCCTTCAAGGGTTCTTTCAAGGGTTCCTCTGTAGGTACTTGGGACCCTTTGGGACAGGAGTCTGAGTGGATGTCTGAACAAACTGAGACAAATCGTGGCCCGGGCTGCTTGAATTGAAACAGCTGCCATTGTCGAACGACTGTAGCACCCTGAACCCTTAAACCCTAAGCCCTAAAACCCTAAACCCTTAAACCCTAAGCCCCCAAAAACCCTAAACCCTAAAGCCCTGAAACCCTAAACCCTAAAACCCTAAACCCTAAAACCCTAAAGCCCCAAACCCTAAATCCCTAAAACCCTAAACCCTAAACCCTAAATCCCTAAACCCAAAACCCTAAAACCCTAAACCCCCTAAAACGCTCCAGGAGATCGTCGCGGTCCCACTTCAGGTCACAGAGAACACGGCACAAGGGGCGTCGAAACAACTGTCTGGTGCTTAGTAGGGAATGGGGGAATTGATCCCTATGATAGTCCCTTAAGGTCCCTTATAGTCGTCCCTATAACCCATTCCCCCATTCCCTACTAAGCACCAGACAGACAACGGACACCCTCCTGACTCGGGGACGGGACCCGGTTCGGGAAGGAGACCTTCTAGTCATCTTGTTGATGATCGAAAGGGTTTAGGGTTTAGGGTTTTAGGGTTTTAGGGTTTAGGGTTTAGGGTTTAGGGCCTTAAGGTTTAGGGTTTTAATTAAGTTTTTTTTGAGGGTTTTAGGGTTTAGGGTTTAGGGATCCTGCTCTACCCGTAACAAGGAAAATGCCAGAGTTCCTATAGTTTGAGGTTGGGGTTTAGGGTTTAAAGGAACCTAGTTTAAGTTACCACAACGGGGACAATTGAATCATAGGGTTTCCAGTTTACAGTAACTTAGTTTAAGCCCCTGAACAGCAACCCAGGAATGAAGAAGCTGACGACAAGAACCCAAAGCGGCTCCTGGTTAATGTAGGGGCCCTAACAATTAGAATAGGGTTTGGGGGTTCCTTATTATACTCAGAGTATAAAATACCGTTAATGTAGGGGCCTTAATAATTAGAATCGGATTTTGGGGGGTTCCTTATTATACTTATAGTATAAGATACCCGAATCCTTAAGGAACCTATATTCCGCAAGCATCGAGTTGCAGGCAAGGCTTTCAGACCTGTCGCCATCGTGCCTGCACCGTATTGGAGAAATGATCGAGCGAGATTTTCCCGACATCGGGAACCTGGCTGCGATGTGGGGGTTTCCGAAAATAGGGGACCCTAATATAGTACCCTAAATAATAGGATCCCCATTATAAGGACCCCAAAATAAGGTACCCTAATATTCGGAAACTTCCATGTGTTTCTCCCTGAGTTTCGGATGGAGGCGCACAACACCAGTGCCGCCGTTCTTGAACACAGATCTTTGCATGGATTATGATTGTGCCTCATGTCTGCTTTAGTTGAGACAGCCTCAATTCACTGCTCCCGCATCGTCCCGATCACATGTAATTGACGTGTAGAGGGAGGCTTTGCACTCTGGTCTCAGATTGTATGTGCAAGGACTCATTATCTCAAGGAGTGAGGTCTTGCGCAACTCTGCGCCGAAGATTCCCGAACCCCTCCATCTTTCGCAGTATATAGCTGCCACCTATATAGTTAGTAACAGTGTCCCCTTTCTGGTGCCTGCAAAAGTATGCTGCAATATACCACCCAGCACACTTGTCTCATCTATTCCTGACGGCCTCCAAGACGTCGCGAGCAGCATTCATAAGCACGAAGGCCCGCAGCTGCCCGGCGACCACCTCGAAACTACATCATGCTTAAACCCTAAACCCTAAACCACTGAACCCCCCAAACCCCTAAACCCTAAACCCTAATTTTTGTTGCTGGAACTTCTTCCTTGAGGTTGTCACTCTATTCCCCCCCATTGACGGGTAACTTCAGCAGATCTCCAACGAACTCAGGCTTAAACCTGCAGAGATTCCTTTAAGTCCTCTTCCAAGAGATCTATCAGGCTCCTCTATGCCCCTAAACCCTAAAAACTCTAAACCCTAAGCCCTAAAAACTAAAAACCCGAAAGCCTGAACCCTAAAAAGTAAAAACCCTAAACCGAGGGGTTTATCTAGGGTTTAGGGTTTGGGGTTTTAGGGTTATAGGGTTTAGGGGTTTATCTAGGGTTTAGGGCTTTGGGTTTTAATTAAGGTTTAGGGTTTCGGGACTCAGAAATGCTCCAAAATCCCACCAAGGGCTCTACTGAATGTGTCGCAAAACCACGATGATGGGTATCTTATCCCAACCTCCAAGAACCCAGATATTCTACGTCTACATATGCGATATGATCTGCTATAGTTCGCAAATGATATGAGATGCTAAACCCTAAACCCTGAACCCTACACCCTAAACCCTAAACCCTAAACCCTAAACATGATATTCAGCTTTCTGCTTCAGACCCAGCCCGTCTCTTCAGTGCTTTGCTGCGTGCCTCCTCGGCCTGGAAGAAGCGATCTGCTGCTTCCTGTCCAGGCAACAAATGGGGAGTTCCGAAAAATAGGGGACACTTATATAGAACCCCAAATGATAGGATCCCTATTATAAGGACCCCCCAAAAAAGGTACCCTAATTTTCTGAAACTCCCAAATACAGTGGCCTTCATAGTTTGGGCTCCCCTAAACCCTAAGCCCAAGCCCCTGTATTAGTGGCAACTAATATAGGGGCCTTCATAGTTTGGGCTCCTTGAGAACCCCAAAGGAATGATAGTGGTATTTATTTAAGCTTCTATATTAAGCCTCGTTTAACCCGTCGAGAACCCTTTAAGGGATCCTGTTTAAGGGTTGCTTTGGGGGATGCTTTAAGGTATAAGGCAGGAACGAACCTGACTAAGAAACCCATAGAGTTTACGGTTTAGATATAACCCCGAAGTACCCTAAACCCTAAACCCTAAACCCTAAACCCTAAACCATATCAAGAACCCTGATACAGACCCAAAGGCTTCCTAATCAAGTTCCCATAATAAGCCTCGTCACCCTTAGAGCACCCTTGAAGGGCTCCTTTTACGGGAGTTTAGGGTTTAGGGTTTAGGGTTTAGGGTTGAAGGGCTCCTTTTACGGGATCCTTCTTCAGGGTTCGCAAATCGGATCGGCTCAAGGGATCTTTTGAAGGCCTCCGTACAGAAGGCTATGTAGGGTTCAGGGTTTAGGGGTTTAGGGGTTCAGGGTTTAGGGTTTAGGGTTTAGGGTTCAGGGTTTAGGGGTTTAGGGTTTAGGGTAAACTGTACCCATTTGGAAGCTTCAGAAAATAAGGGGGTACCTTACTTTGGGGTCCTTATCATACGGGTCTTACTACTTGGGGTACTATATTAGGGTCCCCTATTTCGGAAACTCCCTGATAGAAGCCTCAAAAATAACAGCCTCCATAACTCTTATAGTAATTAACGCTTATACTAATGTCCTTACGGACGCCGTTCTGGTACACTTGGTAACCCAAACTCTTGCAGCAACCAGTATAGTAAGCCCAACCCTTCAAGTAGCCGAGTCTTGGGGACCAACCCTAAACCCGAAACCCGCACTTATATGGGGGATTTCCAAAAAATAGGGGACCCTAATATAATACCCTAAATAGTAGGATCCTTATTTTACGGACCCCCAAATAAGGTACCCCTAAGTTTCGGAAACTCCCATATTAGAGGAAGCCGACTACTGCAAGCTGCGACCACGAGTTGATCGGCGATTGGAGTGGGACCACAGCGTGCTAAAGCCGAGACTCGTCACCCCAGAAGCAACGCCCTGTTGCTACGAGGGCTTACTAATGTAGGGGCCTTAATAAATACCTATACTATTATGGGGGTTCCTTACTGTAAGTGTAGTATATCATACCCCAAAACCCTACTCTTATTATTAAAGCCCCTACATTACTATCAAGGTGGCGTGAGGGTTACTATGAAGGCTGCTCTTCGTGGCCTGCGCGCCGCCTTTCGGCAGTAGGGCTGCGATGTCCTCACGCAGATCCTCGCATGTGGGTGATCTCAGTATCTCGATCTGGCTTAGCTTGCTCAGGGGCTTCCCAAGGTGACAGGGCATTCCGAGAATCGAAGCACTCTGCGAGTAATTCCGGGTGGATTGTAGATCTAGAGTAAGTGTGTTGGCTGGAAGCTGTTGGCTCTTTGTCTTGTAGTACACGTCATGCAGTTCGTGCAACGCGGAGTGTTCAGCTGGTATCGGTGGAGGCTTTGCTTGCCGAGGTTGACGCGTCCAGTAGCGGCTTACCCGGAAATCCGGCAAGAATCTCAGTATGCGAGGTCCTCTTCGGCAAAGGAGTCTGAGATGATCGCAATCCCCACCCCTCGCGAAAGCTTCTCAATGTTCATGCCTCGAAGCAGCCAGATACCTTCAACGCCTGCACTCCCTAAACCCTAAATCCCTAGACCCTCAACTTAACCCCTAAACCTTCAAACTCTCAACCCTAAACCCATGAACCCTAAACTCCTAAACCCTCGCCCAGGCATCTTTCCAACCGCTGCGAGGGCTTCTCTTGAAAGCGGGCATTTTTTGACCCAAGAAGCCGGAAAAGTCACTGGGCCCAGGTTCCGCTTAGCTATACGGGCTCAGAGTGCAGGGCCATCTAGGGTA